CTGGCCTGTACCCCAGTTCTGTATGCATAAATAAATAATCTTAACAACAACAACAAAGTAGTATCTTTTGGAAAGACATTATGTCTTTTTAGTCTCTCTTGGTATCAGAGAAAACAGTGGTGTGTAGCATGATGGCTAAGGCCTGGACTCTAGAGCCAGGCTGCTCTATCATGGCTACCTGTGTGACCCTGGAGAGTCAGTTAAACTCTCTGAGCCTGGGTGGAGATGACGACAGTACCTATTCTATAAGGTGTGAAGATCAGATGAATTGGTACATTTAAGAGCTTACAACAGCATCTTTACAAAAGAAATGTGCTGCCAGCAACGATTATATCATGGCGATAGTTACCAGAAATAACCAATGGGGCCAGTAGTTTTAGGCAATGGAGCTTGTAGCAAAAGTTGCTTGTAGCAAAAGTTGCTTGTAGCAAAAGATGCTTGTAGCAAAAGGCAGAAACATCACTGCTATTGCTTGGCCTTGGTGCTTTTACCTGTTTCACTGCCACCACTTTCCTTAACCCTCTCGGAGGAATTCAGGATCTTGGATGCTGAAAGGAGAACGCACTCTACTTCATCCTCTTCCTGGGGATGCTTTTCTGTAACAGAACCATAGGTGGCTGGGGGTTTTTCCCCCCTCCCCGAAGGTGGGAGGCGTGGCGTGGGGTTCCGGCTACCGACGCCGTGAGCGGCCACGGGAGGGCGCGCTAGAGCCACGCAAGAGGCGGCTGGCCGGAGCCTGGCGGTGGGAAGCGAGGGCCGGGCAAGCTCAGGCCTGGGAGCCGCGTATTCCAGCCTGGGCGGGGCCGACCTGTGCGGCTGGTGAGGACCCGACAGTCTGGGGCTTGAAGGGATGCGGACACCGGGAGGCGGCGCTCTCCACTACCCATCCACTTCCCGAGGCTCCCCCTCGAGCATCCCGACCCTGCTGTTACCCGGACTCATTTTTGCTGCTTAAGCCCTCTTCCCAACTGCCTTCCCCCCACGCATTCCGCTCCGACGCTGCGGGCCAGGCATCCCGTTGCCTAGTAACGGGGTGGCCCGGACGCCGCCAGCGGAAGGGCGCGTTGTTGCGAGAGTGGGCAGGTGCGCTGGGACAGAGTTACGTGGGAGGGAGAGGAAGGTGCGCGTATAAGTCCGGGGTCGTAGTCCTGGGGACTCACCCAGCCAAACACCCCGCTAACCGCGCCCCCCTCACCCCTTGGTGGTGGGACGGTCCGGTCCTTTGACGCGCCCTTTCAAACCCGGGGACCTCACTAGGGCGTTTCCCCTGCACCTTCCCAGCTGACACTTAACGTTGATTCTACACTGACTTAAGATAGTGCCTGTGGGACCCACGCTGTGAGAAAGGGGAATGTTTGGGGACAGGCAAACACCTAGGAACGTCCTCTCTTCATATGACCATTTCATTGTTTGCCTATTTGTGTTTTATGACTTTTCTGTTAACGCATCCACCAGAGTAGTTTCAACACTTGGGGATTTGGACGGTTAAAGACCAAGAGTGCTAAAGGACTTTTGTGTGCAGCAATCAAACGTCTTATTCCAGCAATGACCTTAAAATATCAATGTATTAAAATAGACACAGTAAAGATGTTTCAGGGGCACCCCTCTTCACTTTTTTTTTATTATTATTATTGTGAAATTCATTGCTAAAGGACGGAATTGAAATCTGGGCTTCAATTGAAAAAGATCCGAGCCACAGAATTTCTCCATCTTCATGTAGCACCTTGTAGGGAATCTACGTTCACTTGTTGACTAGCAGCGGCGGATTCAAGAAATCTGGAACAAATTCAAATGCACTGTACAAAAAGAAGCTAGTCAAATCTACTCTTAGCATTTTATTGACAGATTAAAATATTTTTGGATTTTTTTTTAGCTTCATAAAATCATTTTTAAACCTGAGATCGTAAGACTGTCTCCGCCATCCCTGAAATCTACGGGAGCGTGGAAAAGTGACCAAATTGCTCCTAGGAAATAACAAATGTGGGCGGTTGTTTTAAGACAAGTGCTTTGGTCTTGGGGGGCTAGGGTGAGACCTACGTGTTGATGACTTGGGAAGTATTGGGTAGGTAATGGATCTTCTACCCCCCAAAGGCTGGATCCTAATGCAAATGCCACCACACTTGCCTTTAAGTTGTTTTACTGTTGGTTTTAATCCTGTTTCATCTCCAGAGGAGAAAGAGCCTGTAACTCACTGAAGATAGATCTGGCTTTGGCTTCTAGGAAGCTGATTGCCACTTCTCAGAGGAGTTATTTAGTGGCATGTGGGATTATGAGAAAGTGGAGTTGGTGTTGTAAGACATTGGAGGTAGTAAAGGGCTACACAGAAATACCAACGCAGTCTGGGAAGAATGCGGTGAGGGACATAGATAATTTTAGGATGGTGTACAGTCCTTGAGCGTGTGTGTGAACACTGAGGAGTCAGTGACAGAGGTTGAGTGGGAAAATAAATTGGAAGGAGAGTGAAGATTAGCATAATGGACAGGATTTGGATCAAGGAGGCAGGAAGAACAGCCTCTTTGAACATGTGAAGCCTTCGCATATGGTAGGCTTGACATAGGCTTCGCATTTGGTAGGCTGACCAGGGCCAAAGCAATGGGGAGTGTATTTCCTCTGGAACAAGGCACTTAGGTCAGTAAGTGTTTGTGATGTTTTAGGATGGTGTACAGTATTGAGCGTGTGTGGACGCTCAAGAAAGAATGAAAGTGGTAATCTAGCTTTATCAATTTATCACCGCCGGTGGAAACCTCCAGGTGTACACCCTCATGATAAATACCTACTCCCCCATCACCTGGAGGTTTCCACCGGCAGTGATAAATTGATAAAGTTAGATTACCACATTCTTTCTTTCTTGAGCATGCACACACGCTCAAGCACTGTATACCACCCTAAAATTATCTCTGTCCCTCACACATTCTTCCCAGACTGCCTTGGTATTTCTCTGCAGCCTTTTACCACCTCCAGTGTCTTACAACACCAACTCCACTTTCTTAAGTTATTTGAATTATTCAGAAGAGTTTCTCAATTCTAGTGTAACCTGTGAAGGCTAAATGGAATGAAGAGCTGAATTGGGTGTAAACCTCAGAGGGACTTTTTGATCCTGTTCATGATAATGAGGTCATTTGCAAGCTGCCTAAAGGTTTGCATGTCTTCAGATTTCTTCATGTTTTTAATGCTTGAGATTCAGAGGACACAACCTCTGAAGACCATGATGTCACGATAATAAAGAGTAAGGGTTGCAAATAGCAGTTTCCTAAGACTAAACTCCAACCTGCTTAAAGGCAATTCCCCCAACCCCCACCCCTACTAACTATTAATAGAAGAGACACAAAGTTCTGCTTAGTTTGGAATGTTCTGTGTTGGACAAACTTCAGATTTTCTTATGTAGAGATGAGTAAACTTCATGTCACATTAACCACTGAGCGTCACTCTGCTTATACAGGTAGGAGACTAGATGCTGATTTGAACTTTTTAAATTCAATCAATCAATCAATCAATCATTCACTTATAAATGGTAGCAACTCTAGCCTATGTTTATTCTGAAAAACAATTTATTTAATCATGAGTCTGAGGTTTGGCCGCTCAGTTCTTAATCATATTTTCATTGATCACTGTGAGTTTTAGGAAGTTTATTAGTCTAAACAAAGTGGCCAATCTGTTTTCTAAGAAAAGATGTTATTCTGTGAGCTAAGCCAAAACTAGTGGGCACTGTGGGTTCATGGCATGAATTCCTTTGGGGAATATGTGAATTCACTAGACAAGGACAAAATGTGGTGTGGGTGAAAAGGCTTTTCCCCCCATTTGTTTGTTTTTCCATTTCAATACTGTTATTTTCATTCTGTGCTTTATATATCTGAAAACAATTCTCACATTGCATGTATTTCTACTAATTCTACATGTTTAAATTTCTAGATTTAATTTTTTGAAGGATAATTTTTATTAAATATAATAAGCACACAATTTCCCTCTCCCTTTTCACTTTCATAATCTGATCATTAATTTTAGGGCCTGTTTCACATGTCTGAGTTACTATGGTTAAGCGATATTTCTCCTGAATTTCAGATTAGAACTATACTGCCTTTTAAAAACTATACTACTTTTTCACTATTAAAAAAATTCATTATTGGCCCTCCCTGGTGGCGCAGCGGGTTAAAGCATAGCACTAAGAAGCTTAAGCCACTTCCGCATGAGTTTGATCCTGTCTGCCCTGGAGGAGACCACATGGCGTGGCAGACCACTCCTGATCCGCCCGCTGCTCCCCTCAGCAGTGTACTTCGTCGATCTGTTCCTGGTGAATCCTCTCACCCTCCACATCTCTGGCCTGTACCCCAGTTCTGTATGAATAAGTAAATAAATCTTAAAAAAATTCATTATTATATATCTGAACTGAAGCAGTTCATTATGTACACTACACATAAAATATGTAAAATATCATTTTAAGTAAAATACTGTCTGATGTCCAACAATGCACATTAATGTACAATATCTGCCTCTCATGGACTTTTTTTCCCTCAAGTCCTTCATTCTTATTTAAATGAACCTTACTTAAAGGTTCATTCTTATTTAAATGAACACTTATCCTCACCTGTGCTTCCTGACTCCAGCTCACAGATGCTGTTTTACCTCCTACAGATAACAGCTCACAGACTTTTGCTGGAAAGTGCTGTGTGGTGTCTGAGCTTGGGAGCGAGAGACATCTCTGGACACTAAGTTCTTCTCAAACAGCTTCCACTCCCTCCTCTTTATAGTAACTCCTGATAGTGCCTATATTCTAGAAATGCCAGGTGCTATCAATTCCCAGGTCTTTTCAAGATTCCAGAGAGTGAATTAGGTGAGTTTTTTGTCTTCCCCATTGCTATTTTGGATTTTAACTTTCTCAGGTTTTCTAAGTCCGTCACCATTCATTTGCTCTCTAGCTTCCAAACTAGTAAGTTTATACCCATCTCAGGACAAGCTATTTTAGCATAACACTTGAATAAAAGATGAAACATATTCTGCATACATTCTTTGATCACAGAGTTTATTTTGCACTCTTCTGTAATGCGTTTGTTTTGGTGCAAGGGTTGCAATTGCAATCTAATGCTCAGGGGCCTCAGAATTAATAAATAGGTGTTTTAACTCCTTTCACTGGATCAAAACCCTAGACAGGTCAGGATCAGAGACAATTAAATCTGGGAGAATCCCAGAGCAATACAATGGGTGCCCCTTTTCCGCTTGGGAGTGTAGGGGAATCCTCTAGGCCGACAGGTGACAGCCCAGAGGGATACATATGCCTGCCTGAGAGGGGAGACAGAGGCCGAGACAGTCCCTACCTCCCCACCCTGCTGCTGCCAGGGTTTCTACTTAAGGGTAGAAGGTCAGAAGTTCCTGGGGTCTCCAATGAGTAGTTGCTGCATGGAAGCGCATTAGCCAACAGTAAACACAGTGAGAACCAGGGCCCCCTGGGGTTCATGTCTGCGAGGCAACGGACCATGACGCCAGGGATGGCTGAGCTGAGATTGTTGGAGGTGATGCTGGAGTTGGGGTGGCTGACTGGCCCCAAATGTGTTGAGAAAACAGACCACAAGCGAACAGAAGCAGGAACTCAATGAGACTGGCAACCCCTCCTCCCATCCCACTAGAGGCCCCCTAAACTATTGCCTTTGGGGATGCTGCCCTGGGATGGAGGAGCTTTTGTGCACAAAGAAGTCTGATGGATCTGAAACCTGAATGTAACTGAAGGTTTATGTGAAAGGCCATTTAAATTAAAAGATATTTCCAAGCAAAATAAATGTTTAAAGCGGGGAAAGATGGACTTGCCTTTAACCAGTAAGTGGAAATCAGCAAATCTCCCAACAGTGGAAATTGTGGGCTTGAAGAAAGAGTAAATGAGTGGCTGCAATTAAAACAGCCGCATTATTCTGGACACCTGAGGCGATCATGTACACCTCAAGAAAAGACTGGGGACTCTCGTGGAAACGACGATTTTATCGGAATCATTGCATTCTTTAAAAACGCGGCATGTGTGTATTATGTACTCTGTGTCCAGGGCTGTAAGGTTTGAACATGAAACTAGAGAAATCTCCCTGACAGGCCCTGTACTTGCTCAGACAGAAAACGACAACTGCAGGTTGTGTTAGACTACAAGATTGTCATTTGGTATATACTATAATTTTAAAATCAACTTAAGATCATTAGACTCCCCCAGAAATCTTGATGCTTACATGTTTGATAGTTACAATAAAATGAAAGTTGTGGAGTCTGACATACAAAACAATATTGCTTCAAATGTCATTACATTATTGTTACTCCCGAAGAGAGAAGAATGGCAAAACAAAGCGGCCCTTTCCCGCCCATTCCTTTTGCTCAGCACATAGTAAGATAAATATCTAAAGCCTTGACTTTTGATTTTGAGTCAACTGTTTGCTCTACTTCTGCCCAAAGCCACGACTGTCTTCCTGTGAAATGCGTGTGGCGGGTGAATGCGTGCATGCTCCCTTCTGCCGAGACTTAAGCTTTGGGGTACAGAGTGACCATGTCATAGCCCTCCGGGGGCCTTGTGCGGGCTCTCGCGTGAGTCTCACAGTATAGCTCCCCCTCCACGAAGAAGTAGCCTTTTTGCTTGAGGTTGAGGTTACAGTCGGCGCACACGAAGCATTCGGGGTGGCGGTACTTATCCCTCGCCTTCACCACAGCACCCCTGTGTGTGGGGGGAAATAAAGAAGTCAGGGAAACAGGGAAACACAAAGCCCCAGGCCAAGTAAAGGGAGCCGGGGAAGGCTGGGGCCCGAGGCTGTCCAAGCAGCTCCCACTCCCTTCTCCTAGAAACGCCTATAATCCTAGGGGTGGGCTAGGCTAGGGAGACTGGTCTGCTTCACTTTGGGAAACCGGCTTTCAGGGGTTACACCAGGCAAAGCTTGAAATGGACTACATTGTCAGCGAGATCCAAGACAATCCTACTCAGCCATCAGGTCTCTCCGAGGCTCACGTGTGTGAATGTTTTTCGAACAAGTTTTAACAGAAAAAAAATCATAGGACCTTACTTTGTGATCTTTCTCCATTGCTCTGTGAAAGGGGACCGATGATACAGATGAGAGAAATACCTCTTAGGGAATCTGATTTTGACCAAGGTTGTCTATGCAACTAGAAGGCCTCCCGGTGGCTTTCTGTCTTGCTAAGATAGACATAGACAAGCTGTCTGGATATAGAAAGGTACCAATGTCGTGGTATCCAGACTGTTCTATGGAGCACATAAGGCACAGATCAAAGAATGGAGATGGACAGGGACAGGTGAACATGTCCCTGCTGTCAACGCAGTTTGCTTCAACCAAGGGCACTAGTTGCTTTGGGGATATCCCCCTTTTATGAGGTCTCCTGCCCTGCCCCCGACCCAGGCTCATCGTGAGGGTCCTTGGTAGCTGGGTCCTGGTGGGAGCACAGTGGGAGCCTGGGTGTATGCAGTTGTCAGGGCTGGGAAGGGCCACCCAGGCAGATGTGCAGAGGCTGAAACGCTCTGGCTCACCTGGAGATTTGAACTAGCCACTGTGTCTATTCAAGCATAAAGCTCCTTGACAGGGAAACTGGCTGTAGCTTAAAATATATTTCAACATTTGTGCAACTTTAGAAATAAAGGGGAAAATAATGTGTTTTAATTAATGACCTGATGACCACTGGTATTTGTTTCCCAGGGTTTATACAAGAAAGGCAATATTCAAAAACTATGCATCAACAAAGAGGGCTTTTTGAAGTGAAGTTACAATTCTTGGAAATGATTTTTTAATATACACTTCTAGGGCACTTGTTTTCATGCCACTGTATCTGAAATTCTAATCTAATCTAGATGGCTAACTCACTTCATAGAGGACAATTCCTATCTCGGGGATGCTCAGTAAAATACACCGAAGCTTGTCAGGTATGATGCTTGAAGTCAACAAACAGAAACAGGGATCTGGTACCACAATTCCAGTGAGTCTCTGGGGTGCAAGGGAAACTTACATGATGCCACTCCCACACTTGTCACAGAGGGGCATCTTCTGTGCGCTGCTGGCCGCGCCATGGGCCTTTGTGACGGGAGCCCTCACGCTCCGAGTTCCCGCAGGGCGGTCATCTGAAAAACACAGGCTTTCACTTAGCGCAGGGGGCGGCTGGCTACTGTTCGCACTCTGCCTCTATTTAAGGTGTGCCCTTTAACTAAGGGATCCTTAAACTGCACCTGTACCATTCTCTCAAAAGGAGCAAGACCACTCCAGTCATAACTCGTTCTGAAACAGGACATAACAAGTTAACATCTGTTGTTGTTGTAGGGAGCTGTTATGAAATGCTCAGAGCGACAGAGAACACTTTACATTCTTTTTTATTTGACCAACTTAACCATTTTAAGTGTGTAATTTAGTGGCATGAAGTGCATTTGCCATGCTGTGCAGCTATCACCCAGCTCTATAGCCAGAACTTTTTTCATCACCCCAATGGAAAGTCAGTACCCAGTAACCATAACTCTCCCTAGTAAGCCCTGCTGGTAGCCTCTATTCTACTGTCTGTCTCTATGAAATGCCTATTTTAGATTCTGCATTAAGTGGAATCATACACTATTTTGTTGGGCTTGTTTCCATAGCATAAATTCCAGGCTCATCCATGTTGCAAACAAGTGTCAGAAATTCATTCTTTTTAAGGCTAAATAAGTCAATTGTATCTACTTTATCTACCTATCTATCTATCTATCTATCATATTTTGTTTATTTATTCATCTGTTAATTACATTGAGTTGTTTCTACCTTTGGATTACTGTGAATAGAGCTGCTGTGAATACTGGGTACAGGATCCGCTAAAGTCCCTGTTTTCTGTTCTGTTAGGTGTATATTTAGGAGTGGAAAGGAATCTTCTAGTTTGTCAGGCACCACCATGCACTGGCCTTCTGTGAACTGTATCCCAAATTGTCAACCCACAAGACTGCTGTTTCTCCGCATCCGCGCTGACTCTGGTTATTTTCACTTTTTCTTTTTGATAACAGGTATCTGAGCAGGTTATTTTGCATTCCTGTGCAACTTCAAGGGGACACTGATACTTCTTGTGTGTGTGGAGAAACACTCCGTCAAGTTGAGCTCTAAAAACAGTAGGAGTGGGCTGGAGACCCAACTCTACTTCCTGCTATCTGCATGACTTTGTGCAAATGTAACCCACTCAGTACCTCACTTCCTCATTTGTTAAATAGTGAAAAAGTAGCTCCCACGTTACCGAGCTATTGTGAGAATTAAGTGATGACAAACACAGAGCAACTCACATAGGGTTTGGAACGGAGTGACCTTGTCATTGTAAAATCTTGGTGGTGAAGATACTCTGGAGCATGGGAAACTTTGCAAGACCCATTTAAGACTACATTTTATGATTTATAAATCAATCCAGATTTGACAACTGTGGATATGATGTTCCTTTGATACCTTTTCACCACCAACTTAGTGGTTGGTTCAACACATTCTGAAAGCTCCTTTCCTAAATCACTACCCACCACTCAAGTCTTTCCAAGCAAAGGTTCAACAGATTGCTGACTACAGCCAATTTTCAGGCTCTTGTCGCCATTTTGTTTGCTGTTCTTGCCTCCCCTGAACTTTGCTACAGCCATTCCATACTGGTAATGTCAGGCGATGTTCACGGCTACTCACCTGGGCCATCGTTCACTAGCTCCTGGAGCACCCTGAAGGAGCCGGACTGGCGAGGCTGACTCGGTTCATCCCGGTTGTCATGGAGCATCCGGTACACATCAGACTGGGGGGGCAGCGAGACCGTGGGTTCACTGAAACCCAACATGGTAGGCAAAGCAGCGTCAGAGCATTTTATGAGGCACCAGGCACGTAAGAAGTCACATCAGTAAGCAACAGTCACTATTTGCAGCAACTCCTGAACCAGAGTCAATGTTTGCAAGTTAATGTCTATGAGAGTTAATTAAAAATAGAACATGGGTCGCCTTCAGAACGTCATTAATTAACCTGGGAGTTAATTACACACCAGCATTTGTCTGTTGTGTGAAAAAATTGGAGAGTAACTTAAAAGGATATTGATAGGAAACTATGATTAAAAAAAATAAGATGCTAATGGACACATAATGGACTCTGCAGAAAAAGGACAATATACATACAATATAAAGGACAGGAGGGGCCCAATTTTATTCTCATCCATGAAATCATCAATAAAATTCAGATTAATTTCTGATATTAAACTAAAAGTACATGGTTTGACTTTGTTTTGAAGGTTAATTTATTTTGCTAATGCCATAAAGGTATCACCTTATTTACAAGTTGTAGAAATTCAACTTGTCAGTATATGAAAACACCTTACACAGAAACATTCTTAGATATATATCAGTCATATTGATTACATGATATTTTAAAATAGTTACATTATAATTCATTTGCAACAATGACTGCAGCATTACTTCAGCATACTTTATCTATAATCATGAATAGCAACTAAAAATGCCACTGTAACACTGTTCTTCAGGGCCTAAATATTATTTTGTGTATTTAGTTGCATGATCTTGCAATTGCAAAGGTAGTTGATCTGCACATATTTTTATTACTTATGTCCTATTTGAAAGGCATCATCTTATATATCTCAAATTCCTTTGAGCCACTTTGCGAAGTGGCTTTACTTTCAAGAACTCTTTATGATCATTCCAAGAGATATCTGAGATATTGTTGTATAGTACTCTTAAACATATGCACTTTAATTTATAAACAGTGGTTATATAATATAGAAAAAATAATATTTTATAACCTCAAAATCTTGAGTAGAAAAAGCTTGATGGCAAAAGTGCTTTCAACAAATATTCACAATACAGAAGAAATTAGTTAAAATAAAGACCAATGGGAATTAAACATCTACATTTATATCTTGGGGTATTTGTGCACACACATTTATTCAGTTCAAAAATTTGAATTGGGGAAATACTGATAAGATGCCAAAAGCACCACAAAGTTGCTTTTAGAAGAGACAAAAATGTCATCTCTTAAAATTCCTTGGAACTGTCTATCCCTTTCCCAATTTTTGTTCCCAAGAGGAAAAACATAGAGTATATTAGATGAAGCACTTCTGAGAAGTATTGTGCCAGGCAATTATAAAGTTCAAAACACACATACATTTGGATCATTTATGAGTTTATCTTATTGCAGTCAGTACATAAAGCTCTACTGAGTTAACTCTTCAAATCACCGTTGTTCTTAGGTCTAGATATTTGTATTAAGTCCTGATATTTTTTTTCTTACAACTGTTCACAGCTTTCTTTCAACTAAGACGATGTTAAAAGACACCAACAAAGTTGACATTGCCCACATGTTTAGTTAACATGCCCATGGTTCAGAAAGACTCATATTACCTCGTGGAGGAGGGTGTGTCCCCTAGAGCTGTTGAAACCTGACCCTGAAGTGTTTCCATAATATTGTCATCTGAGTACAACTGCATAGGTGTATTAAACTGAGCATGTACAATCTTCACACCAGGAAGTTCCATTTCCAAAGGAATGTTAGGGGCCATCTTAGCAGCAACTTTCAAGTCACCTGGGCAAATGGTACTAACAGTACTGACAGAAGAAGGGGTACTACGGCCACTGGCACAGTCAAAGCCCGATGGAGTGCTGCATCCACTGTGTTAGGGACCACGTGACACAGAGATGACACAGGAACCGCGACATCCAGAGAGAACATAGAGAACAAGTACAGAGAGGTTAAAAGAATCGAAGACCAACAGTAGAGATGAAGTCAATTAGATTGAAACAAACTGTGTCTATTGTCTAGAATTTGGTTTTGTTTAGAAGTTCATGACTGGAAGACATTTAACAAAATTAAAAGGTACAGGTGATAGTGCATTTTTTGGCTCTGTTCTACTAGGTGATATGAAAGTAGAAAGAATTGTGTGTGTATATATATATGTATATATCAAGTAGGAAAGATACAGCTAGTCACAGTTTTTACAAGTAAGCCAAATAATTTTAAATTTGACTCTCAAATGACCCAGATAAATAAGTCGACAGGATATGGCTTTGCATTTCTGCAATATTTAAAATGAACATATAATGAATAATCCTTTGCAGAAAGTTAACAGGAATACAACAGGAAGACATAATCAAATATTTAGGTTAAATGTTTCAGAAATGCATATATGCTTTAATTAAATAGTAATTGGCCACATGTGCGTTTAAGGCTATTTCATAAATGTTTTAGTGCTACTATTTTAACTTTATTATTTAATGTTTTGAACAACGTGGTAGTTTAGCAGAATTGTAGAAACAGCCAGTAAATGCTTGTCACCTTGAAATGAGTGATTAGAGGGCAAATAAGGTGTTTCCAGATTCTGAGGGTGCAACTTTGGGCAAAAATATATTTCTTTTCTATGTAGCTATTTCATGAAAAATTTTAGAAGTACATAATATATCCATGCATGTTTCCTTTTAGATAAGTTGAGGAGCCTTATTGGAAAATCAGGCCAGTCATGCAATTAAAGAACAGAGGAGATTTTCTATCTTTATGAAACTAGATGAGAGATTATAATCACAACTGACATGCAAATGACTAAAATGTCATTTCTCTACATGCATTTTAAATTCAGTTCAAAGAATGCACTTTATAAGAAAGTAAAATATACTGAGATTTTTAAAGAGGCAGTTACTTAAGACAAAACCAAAAGAAATATTAGCATTAAGTATCTATTAATCCCAACAGTTAAACTTACTATAAGCTCAAGATAGAGAACAATTTATATGGTGTGTTAACCTCAAATCAGTATTTTATTAGGGTTCAAGTGTGGCCCCACATCTGCATATTTGTTTAGGGTGACTCATGTTAACCCGAGCCCTGTAGAGAGAGTAAAAATTAAACACATTGGGCACTGATCTCGCTGGGTTCATCAATGCTACAGCCTGGTTAGTCTTAAAAAGGTCACCAAGTGAATTAAAACATTTTTTTTTTTCTCCCTGTGTTATCCAATTCAAACACCTGCAGTAGCCTAAATAGGGTTGGTAAATATGGATTTTCTCTTTTACTTCTTGACTGTTAAGAACCTGTTTAAAACTCAAGCTGAGAGGCCCTCCCGGGTGGCGCAGCGGGTTAAAGCACTGCATTGAGAAGCTAAAGCCACTTCCGCATGAGTTCGATTCCCGCCTGTCCCGGAGGTGACCACATGGCGTGGCAGACCTCTCCTGACCCGCCCGCTGCTCCCCTCAGCAGTGTAGTTGGGGGATCTGCCTGTTCTGCTCCCCACTCTGTCTCTGGTGAAGCCTCTCACCGCCCCTGAGCCTCTGGCCTGTAACCCAGTTCTGTATGTATAAATAAATAAATCTTTAAAAAAAAAAAAAAAACTCAAGCTGAGAAATGGTTGATGACGTACAAAATGCTAAGTGACATCTTGTTGTTTTCATAGGCTCAGCTTACACTGGCTCCTGAATTGAACTTTTGTTGGCCTAGGAATAGGAGTAAAATTTCAGTTGTAGTGCACATCAGTCAGAAACATATTGATGTGACCTAAGTATAATGAAACTTATTAAACTACATTTAGGAATTTGAAACACTGAGTTAAATCTTGAAGACTTGGGTTCAAAATACTGAATCTTTTTTTTTTTTTTTAAGATTTATTTATTTGTGCATACAGAACTGGGGTACAGGCCAGAGGCTCAGGGGCGGTGAGAGGCTTCACCAGAGACAGAGTGGGGAGCAGAACAGGCAGATCCCCCAACTACACTGCTGAGGGGAGCAGCGGGCGGGTCAGGAGAGGTCTGCCACACCAGGTGGTCACGTCCGGGGCAGGCGGGAATCAAACTCATGCTGAAGTGGCTTTAGCTTCTTAGTGCAGTGCTTTAACCCACTGCGCCACCAGGGAGGGCCCCAAAATACTGAATCTTTCCCACAACATTTATAAAACTGTGCCTTTACTATGTGCCTGAATAGTGCCAGACTGGACCAATTAAGATTAATCAGAATTCTCAGATACACCTGATTTTGTTGTAGTTAGTACTCTTTTTCTAGTATTTGCACTCTTGTTTACATGCATGTTTGTGTATGTGACTTTATTTATGCCAAGACTGTGTTTTTTATTTTCTGGTTTCTCTATCTATTCGGGGGTCTGGTGACTAGGTGGGAAATAAAAAAATGTCTGCCAGCTTGGTGCACCTGAAGTAGATCACTATTTAATGGTCCCAACCTGTTAGGTGCAATCCAGCCTAATACCAAACTCCCTCCCTCCGAGCTGACTGATGCACCTGAGGTCAGAGGAATGGAATTCAGGTTTCCCAAAGTCACTGTTTCCACAGGGATTAATTTTTTCCTTTCGGCTGGAGTTCAGTATCTAGAGAAGGTATTTGAAAAGGATCGCCCTGAGCATCTTTTTCTGTGATTGACAGCTTTTATCAAGAGCTGGCTCAGTGTTATTCTGGTGTGTGAACTACAGCTACCCAGGAGTGGGTCACCCGTATATTTCCCTCACAATTCTTTTTCATACCTGTTTCCCTCCAACTGGAAAAGTTCCTTTTCAAATGGCCTTTCTCCCTTTGCAGTTATCCTTAAGACTGAAAATTTATTTTTATGCACGAGAGGGATTCCGCAGCGGCTCTCTTGGAGCAGTCTGAAGCAGGTGCTGACTTGGGGGCGGTGAGTCTGTTAGACAAACGGAGCGTTCCCAGAGCGCCCACCTGCTCTGGGGACTAGCCTCCATTTTGTTCTTGCTGACTGGGATTTTCTGACTTGGGATGGAGAACAGCCGCCTGCCTCAAAGGTCACTGTGCTCTGGATGGGATCCGCAGAGCAACAGGGGTGATAGTTATAAATATATGTGGTGATTTATAACATTTCACAGCTCTTAATCTCTTCAGTATTTACTCTAGAAATGGAGGTGAGTTGGCTACTGTTCTCTGTTAAGTGAATGTTTGCTACTTGTGCTATTGAAACAAGCTTCAAAGCGAGAAAAGTCACTCCAAACACCTAAAAACACCTTCTTGGCGATTAGTAAGGACTTGTTAAGGAAGCATGCATCTCACATGGTGCAAACTCAGAGTTTATGACCTGCTTCGGCCTGGGATTATGAAAGGTTTGGGCCGAATATTGTGCTTGTGCTCAAAGTAGTTGACTTCCTGCAAAATAAAAAAGGGTTAAAAAGTCCCTCAGTGGCAGATTAATTTTTTTTTTTTTTAGACAAAATTACATGAACGATAGTGACCAGAGACGATTATTTACCACCAAATACTGACATGAACTAAGCAAGGCGAGGATGGCAGCTGAACCATTTCTTGTTTTCACCACCTGTTCACTGAATGTGCAGGAACTGGCTACCTGTTCAGAGAGCATGTTCGACAGACTTGTCTCTTAAAACAAACGAACCAAAAAACCCCTCCAATTGTGTCTTTAGGAAACGAAACAGCAAGAGCTGGACTTTGGAAAGAAAAAGAAACCGTATGATGCTGTTAAGAAAATCACAGCCAGAGATGGAGCGTCGGATACTTACTTTTGAGGTGAACTAGGAATGAGACCCCGCAGCTGTCCGTGAAGCGCGTCTTGTATATTGCTAGTTGAATAGAGCCCAATTGGCGAGTTATAGGAAGCACTCACTACCTGTCTTTTGTCATCAATGTTTGCTGCCGCGACAAAAGGCCGGGCCCTTCTGTTGTGCGCGGTACCAATGGGTTTGAACTCCTGTACAATGGCAGACAAAACACAGCCACAGAGTGCACGGCAGCCGTCAGTGAGCAGAATAACAGCGTCGCTCGTGTTAATACGGGCTTCTTGACCCACTCTGAGATTAATGCAAAGTTAAAGGATCAGGCAGACACTTTCTAATAGTCCATACAGTCTACAGCTTCTGCCCTTATAGATCAATGTTAAGGTGCAAAGGAATTGATTGTATTTGAAATATGATGAAGGAATCAAGGACTATCTGTGGTCTACACCTACTGATTAGTAGACCTATTTTCATTAAGTCATTTGAATTACAGAAATTTTGGGTCAGAAAGGAGACTTTTTGGCTTAGAAAAAAATTTCTATTTAACAATTTCTCAAGAACTTATATATGCTTTCTTAATAAACTTTATAATATAATAATAATGTAGCATACATATGATATATATATGGCATATATCGTATATATACTATAATCACTGCTTACACCACAACATATAATATATATGACTATATACTCTATCTTATTTAAATTTGCCTCATTTTAAGAAATGGAGGAATAAAACACTCAGAAAGGGAATGGTCATTAATGAATAACTACTGAATCATTTTAACTAACAGAAGTAAAAACTGTTTTTTACTGATTACCTATAACAACAACAACAACAACAAAATCCAAATTGTTGATTTGGACTAAGTTATAACATTAAATTTAGGAAAAAAAATAACAAAGAATCTCTTTCTAGAGACATTTATAGAAATCCTCTTTTATAAAACTATGTTGATTTCATGTTGTATGTTTAAAGGGTCTTTCATGTTAATATAGTCCCAGAACGACACAAATCAGTACTTGGGAGATAGCTGATCTGGAGGATTTACAAAAGGATTTTCACTTTATCACTTGGGGGAAAAGATCAAACATCAGAGTCTTGAAATTTGAAATTTGAAACATGTTAATACGGGCTTCTCGACCCACCATGAGATTAATGAAAAGTTAAAGGATTAGGCAGACACTTTCAAATCCTGAATTTGAAACATGCTGTCATCCTCTGAAATCTTTATTATTATTTTTTAATGTAGGAACCACATTTTCCAATTTTTATATAGATTTGTAATTTTGTAAAGTCACTAACTGGCTTTTCCTTCAAAGCAACGGCAGTAAACCAAAAGGGAGTGCTAAAGTACTCAGAAGCTGGTTCTCAGTCCAAATGTTTTCCTTTGGTAGTTAGGGAGTGAAATTGCCTTATTTTCACTCACACATTCACATCCATTCTCTTTATGCCTGTGAATGTGCCATCATGTGTCACATGGATTTCACGTCCTACAAACATGCATGATGACTCAAAATGTTCCCAAAAGAGACAGTTAAAAAAAAGAAAAAGATAAAAAGATCGTGTTTTTTTTTTTTTTTTTTTTTTTTTTTTTTAATGAGACTATCTTCCTTTCTTAGGAGTAGGGACCATCACCTGCAGGACTTTTGGGCCTGGGACAACAAGTTCACATACAGACCCAAGGCTCTCTTTAGAGTCTCCTGAGTGGTCACCATGCGTCCATATTCCTTCATCTCAGCCCATGGACAAAACCCACCGTTTTTTTTTTTAACTAATGTTGACAAAGTATAGCTTCACAGATTAGTCCTCTTGAGTCTGGCTCCAGCTGGCCCCAACTTCCTGGCACCTGAAAATCTGAGATGTGGTAAAAAGCACCTCTCTCCAATGTTGTACAGTATATTTTTAACAGGCTCCTGAACTTGAAAAGAAGGTCTGAACTGAATACAATAGTCAGTATTTCTAGAGTATGATTAATTTCACTAAGACAATTATTGATTTTAATTCCCTTGCCCCCCAATAAAGGCTTATTCCTACAGGTTAACAGGCTGCCAATATGTTTGCTGTGATTAAGTAGCAGAATGACAACAGAAAGACTGAATGAAACAATTAAATGAAGCTTTAGAAAAATGCTGAATCCAAAAACTTGTGAAAATGTATCTAGTCAATCATTTATAAAGGCTCAATCTGATTGTTTTGGCTAATTTAATGAATTCTATTAGCTATGTTAAAGATGAACCATTTTGGTGAGCTATTATTATGGCATGAAAAGTGAACTAAATATGTCATTACTGTTTGTAATGATAATGGCAATGATTCAAGCCTAATTAAATTTTTGTAGATCAGAAATCTCTCAGGCTAATTAGGAGTTAATCAGCCAAGATTGAAGGACACAAACTTCTTCAGTGGAATTAAGGTTTTGCAATTCAGCGTTATTCTTAAAATATGGCCTGTCTTTAAAATTATGGCAAATAGATTGAATTTACAAAAATTAGTTAACATAATATGGGAGGAAATCTCTGCTTTTATTTCTGCTTAGTCTTAAAAAAAATAAACATGGATGGTGTTTGTCTTATAAGTGAGGCAACTTTCCTGGAATATTTGTGCACTAATAATCTAGTGGTACTTCCAAATAGCAGTATGTAAGTTTATCAGCTCCAAAATTTTTTTTGCCACTTTCAGGTTAGGTTATATATTGCAGAGTTCACAAATGTATAATTTATTTTTAAAAAGTCCTCATTTCTACTCAAGTACTAAAAGGCAATGTTTCTAATGCAGACTTCAAACATTTGTTTAGGCTTTGCAAAGCATTAGTTTATGGGCTGCTAGAACTATTCATTCCAAAAAGCCACAATGAAGTATATACACCAAAGGTAAACAAAATTTGAAGGAGAGTACCAAGAAGAAACATTCTGTCCAAGTCTTACATCATTACTGATGGTCAAACAGAGTCAAAAGACCAAACCAGTTAGAAGTGTGCTGTTCCCCTTTAGACCCTTATTTTCTCTGGAAAATTATTAGTAACAGAAAATGCCAGTAAAAAATCTTATATAGAAGTTAAAATAGTCCAGCTCTTGCGTTTATTCTACCCCGACAAAACACCCAATTAGTTTTTTACTCTTATGAACTCAGTGGTTGAGCACTGCAATCAAGGAATGACAATTTGAATGAATGAAGGCTAGAACTGCCAGCCTAAAGGCTAAGTTGACAGAGCTGCACTGGCCCCTGGGGAATGAAGCTCTTAAAAGCAATCTCCTGAGTCCTTGGGATGACCTAGGCATGCTAGCGAGCAATGAGAAGTGTTCACAGAAAATTCACCTTTCAATTTCTTCCTTAGATAAAAACCGAGTCCAAGAACTGAGACAATGAGCAACCCCAATGGAAATAATAGTAAGATTCATATATACATTTATTTATTAGAAGAAATGATGGGAAAATATGGGAAGCAAAATACATGAAAGTGATCATTATTTGGATCAAATCACACAGAGCAAATGATAATATTTGATCATGTTTGGAGTCTATGATTACCCTGCACCCCTCACTGCTCACCCTGGAAATGAAACAGAGTTTCCCTGTTTCCTTTATCTCATCGAGGAAGACTCTGGGGATTTGGGAATTAAGAAACTTTGTTGTCTGGTAAATCCTCTTCTGATAAGTGAGTATTGTAGGATAAAATTTACTTTATAAAAATGGAAACAATTTCAACCCATACCTCACTTGATTGAGCACAAGGGTACATCTTTATTTGCAGAACATCTATGGGCTGGATGCAACCCTTCATAAGGTAAGGGAAGCAATTCTTTTCCCATTCAGGAAAAAACAGTTTTTTGTTTGTTAATCAAAAGCATCATTTCTGTATTCTGATAGCCATTATTGTGAGAGCCACATTGTAATTATGAGTTGTTCAGTGAACATTAAACAAAGTTTTGGGGACTGTTATTTTTGAAAATACAAGTTTTTGAAGAGGGACCAAGAACTCAAACAACTGCTCTTTAGCCTTGGGTGATAATCTGTATGGAAAAGCACGGTGTCTGTTACCAGCTGCGGTCAGAATGCTGTGGTCAGAATCGTATGAAAAACCTTTATGTAATGATGGGGCAGGGCTGATCTAAACAGCCTCTAAGATTCCTTTTTAGCCTATGGTTTGAGCCTAAGTTCATAAAAGCAAAATTTAGCTACATGATAATAGCATAGAACAATGAATAAAGCCTAGATATTAAAATTTTGTACTAATTATTACTATAATTATGTAAGAAAAAGTTCCTCAAACCTAAGCTTATGCACAGGAAAATAGATTGGAAATAAACATAGTGACATTGATTATTTGTGGTTGACTGGAATTGGATGGTAGGATATAGTGGTGTTTTTTTTTTTGTCTGTATTTTAGTGATTATATATTACTTTTAAAATGAGGAGGAGTAAAGATTACATAACTTACAATAAAAGTTTGACTTGGGTTGAGAAACAAGATTTCAAATATTGTATTACTCAGTGATGGTATTTTGGTATTCAATTGCAATGGCATCTTCAAACATGATATATTAATGGCAGTTATTTTTCAGACTGACACATCTTTGTTTTCCTATTTGCATACTTCTCATATTAGTGGGAAAATGAAGACTGCTTTTTGCATAGCTTTATATTAATTTAAAACAAAAGAGGAATACACAACCACAGTTTAGCTTTTGTCATGGTCTAAAATAAATCTGCGTTAATTTCTTGGCCCCTCTAAGTGAAATTCATTGGGTTTTTTATCACCACAGCTTGTTCTAGTTCATGCTATTTTCAGATAGCAGAGGCTGGGCTGAAATTTAGCTATGATGGTAGGGAATGTCTGTCCTGGAGTTATGTGAACTGGTCATACAGAAACCTGACCTGAGCATTATAAGAAGCAGGAACCCTTCAGTCCATTAGGGGAAGAACTAAAATGGTTCTTATCTCTGAGTTCTTCAAGCACTTCAAACACGCGCTTCTTGGAGAGGGTGCCAGAAAGAATTAGTCATGACTCAAACTAATGGAATGTTCAAAGGCTCCTTCCTGCTGACTGACTGCTGTAGTCCTTAATCCAATCTTCACTTGTTTTTTTAACTTATGTTGTTCTCTACCTTTTCCCCATCTGTAGTATCATAAATAACCATAAGGTGTAATGCCAAAATGTCGGACACAGAGTCTTAATATATGACTGACAAGAGGCCAGAGTATTTGAAATGAATATTACCTTTAAAAATCCATTTCTTAGAATAACCATCATCAAAAAGGAATACTCAGAGGTTTACAAAAGGGATCGTATGTAGAGTTAAAACACAAGGATTGCCCTTAAAGTTCAATGCTGGAGAGATGTCAGCAAAACTCAGGCTCCCACTCTGGTTTCAGCTCAGCCCGTACTTAAATATTTGCTGAGTCACCCACATGCCAGGGGGGCCATGGCGACTTGATCAGGGGTCACAGGGATTTGCTACTTTGGTAAAATCTGTCTAATGGTCATATCTGTCTAATTAAATTGTCCCCATAACTTAGCATCTCACATCGGTGAAATCAGGTTTGAAAAATTGGAAGAAATTTGGAAAGCAAAAATAATTTGCAAAAGGCGTACAGTGCAACTTGGTGCATGCATTACATATAGAAAAGGAGATTCAGGATTTTACCCAGTTTGTCCTGGTGATGAGATGAGCCTTCAATTTCTTTTGTAAAAAAATTTTTTAAAGCACCACAAGATCTCTTTTTTTCATTGTGTTGCCTCCAAGTAATGAACTGGTGAGGGCAAGAGGAAGAATGTGGGCCTTGGGTTCTGCCTGGGGAATGTTCTTTCTTCTAATATATTTTTTTCCATCAACGAAAATATTACTACAAGAATGTTCACCAATTTACCAGAGTAAGCTCCCATGTGCACTCAGATTCCTTTGCACCACATATATTACCTGTCTTATCTGTTTCATACTTGCTCATTTAACCTGATGGTGGAACTCTTATCTGTCCTAAATAAGACACCCACGTTCAAGATCACTTTTACCAAGCAATCATTGTGGGAAGTGGTTCCTAGGATTGGTCTTGCATACTGTTAGAAAATGCAGTGTATCTTTAGGCTCTCAGTTCCTTTTATCGGTTTATCAGCTATTTATTGAATGCTGTGTCTGGGAGAATGAGAGCCAAGAGTACAGACATGGCCTTCAGGAATATTCCACATCCTGCACACCCCCTATGGGGCTTGTTTTCTCTTGCACTTAGTTTTGAGGCTAAGACTCTTCTTTCCCACTAGTCTAGAAACAAGGATTGAGGAAACTTTCTTCCCCCTGAAGGTTAAACGACAGGGATATTTCTTCTCCTAGAGAGCATGTGTCTTCACTGAAAAGAAAGCTTAAATCCCATGTAATTTGTAATGTTTCTTGTAAAAGTATTGAGGGGATCTCTGGAAGCCTTCCTACCTTCCTCTGTCACCAAAAGCCAAGAGGCTTTCTGACACAGCCTGAGGGAGCAGGGTCTAGTACTACTAATACCAAGAGCTCTGAAGTAAGTGAGAATGTCCAGGGCTAGTTCAGTAGGCGTCTTTCTCGGTATCATTTCACTTACGTCTTTAAGAAGCTCTATGAGGTACATGCACATATGTGACATGTATTTTATAGAGAAGAAATGGAAGCTTATGGAGACAATTGGAAAACTTAAGGATAAATTCAGGAGAGATGATTCTGAAAGGGGAACACTATTGAAGGATAAGTTAAGAGTATGTTTTCCATTTCAGATATCTAGAAAAACTACACTTTGGGAATGATTCTGAAGTCCCTGAGACAGAGACTGAGGGACGCCACACAAGGACCGAACTCCGTGGTCCTCATCTTTTTTGACAGGGCTGGCAAAGGAGAGGTTACAGAATCGGATCTTGGCCCAGATCCCGCTGCCATAAACTCCCCTGGCCTACAGTGGTTTCTTTACCGATTTCCTCCAGCAGGGGCATTCCTGAGCTCGCTACATACCAGAGCCCAGTCCAGATCAGACAGGAGCTGTGGACACACAATCTCTGGGCTTTTCACCCACCTGAGATGGGGACGCGCCCTCACGACCACGAGCTGCAGCTGATGGCAGCCCAGGATTAACAACAGGACCACACTCGGACAGACACACGGGCTTCAGCCAAGCCCACTCTCCTGGCTCGAAGCCAATATGGTTCAATTCCTTCATTCTCAAACCCCAGCCCTAAAACCGATGCAGACCCCTAGCACCTCAGATTCTCGTGCCCAGGAGGTCCTGCTGGAGGTCTGGGTTTTGCTCTTTCAGCAGGAAACCCCCGACTCCTTGCCTGCTCTCACTGCTCTCTCAATGGGCCTTTTCCTGGCTATTGCTTTGGGTGGCTGGGGGCCCTGTGGTCTAGACCTCCATTATCAGCAGGTAGGGCAGTGACAGCTGCTGGTTGGTGCTCGGCTTATCCACCCGTGTGTGTTGCCAGAAGGTGGTTGGGACTGAGGCTCATGGGCGCTTCCTTGTTCAGTGCCAGGAATAGATCATCAGTTTAGCAGGAACACTGCTTTAAAAGGGATTCACTTTTATAGCTCTGTATCTCTAAAGTTGGGTGCTCCCAGGTAGAGGGTTTAAGATCCTTTTGTTAATTACATTTTTCTGAATTTCACAATTGAGGGTTGGTTTAACTTCACATTTTATAGCTTCACTTTTTATATGCTTAGACATAGCTAAGCATCAGATTAATTGATTTATTTAGCTTCAGATTAATAGATTTATTTAGATAAGAGTTGCCTCATGGGGAAATCCTTTCTATTTTGTAACTCCACTGCACAGGAAAAAAAATATCACAATGATTGCATAATGCAAAACTCCTTTTGTAGAGTAAACTTAATTCTAGAATGCCAGAACTGAGAATTAGAAAAGGATGTAAAATAAGAGCTGGGTAAAGAGCTCAAAGTGGTAGAGCTCACAATAATTATATTAGACACACCTGTTTCAAATGAAAGCCACTCCCTCCCACCTTCATTTCTGTTTTTACTGTAACATCTTAAACTTCTTGCATTGCCTCATGGTCATTTGGCAGAAGTCCATCATTAGAAGTGGGAAAAAAATGGATATGCTCCTGATGAGAGCATATTTGTCTGTTAACAAGGTGTTAGTCTAAGCACATTTGTCTTTATTTTAGGTGAGACAATATGGACAATAGAAATGTATTCCTGAGAGTAAAGACAGAACAGTACTTCATCAGGTGCTTATCCAGTTGCTGTATCTGCTACTTCTTCCCTATGGAAGGCAGCCATATCATTTAGAAAAAAATATAATGTGAACACCACTCACTCTAAAATTCATACCTGTGGTTCTGATTCTAAGTTGATTCTGAAAGGATGAGCTTTCCCATCTTCAGCTACTTGGGGAGACCATAAGCGAGTTTCTGCCCTGCAAGTAAAATAAAGATGGTAAATGCCAACATTAATGGTGCTGCCAGCTTATTTATTTATTTATTTTTACTGGGTACAGGCCAGAGGTGTAAAGGTGGTGAGAGGATTCACCAGAGACACAGCCAGGAGCAGACCAGGTAGATCCACGGGACATTGCTGAGGGGAGCAGCGGGTGGCCCAGGAGAGGTCTGCTGGGCCATGTGGGTCACCTCCAGGGTGGGGGATTGGACTGGCACTGAGGCAGCTGCGACTGGCTTGCAATGCTGTGCTTTAGCCGGCTGCGCCACCAGGGAGGACCTGCTTCCAGCTTTTGGGGGCTTGCGCTTTCTGTAGTGTTTGTAAAGGTACCGGGAACCCTCAGCATTCAAACAGAAGCAGTGTTCCTTGCTCATTATTCTGTATTTTCCCATCTAGTTAGACTTTAAAAATATGTACTTTTGGGGAAATGTGAATGGACCAAATTTGCCTGGAGTGCTACTGTGGGCTGACTATGTCTCTTCCCTGATTCAAATTCCCATGCTGAAACCCCATTGCCTAAAGGGATGGCACTTGCAGGTGGAGCCTTTGGGAGATAATTCCAGCTAGATGTGATCCTGAAGGTGGGGCCTTGCGATGCAATTAACACCCACATGAAAAGAGGAAGGGGGCTCCCCCTGGTGGTGCAACGGCTTAAAGCACCTCCTTATGAAGCTCTCCCAAGTCATGCAGCACGAGTTCCATCCCCATCCAGGGGGCTGACCCACATGGCGCAGCAGACCTCTCTCATCTCCCCCTGCTCCCCTCAGCAGTGTATTTCAGTACATTTGGGTGTTCTGCTTCTCTCTCTGTCTCTGGTGAATCCTCTCACCCACCACACATCTGGCCTGTACCTCAGTTCTGTAAACATAAATAAATAAATCTTTAAAAAAAAAAAATAAGGGCCCTCCCTGGTGGCGCAGCTGGTTAAAACACAGCACTGAGAATCTAAAGCCGCTTCCACATGAGTTCGATCCCCGCCTGCCCTGGAGGTGACCACATGGCGTGGCAGACCTCTCCTGACCCGCCCACTGCTCCCCTCAGCAGTGTACTTCGTCGATCTGCCTGTTCTGCTCCCCACTCTGTCTCTGATGAAGCCTCTCACCATCCCTGAGCCTCTGGCCTGTACCCCAGTTCTGTATGCACAAATAAATAAACCTTTAAAAAAAAAAAAAAAGGAGGAAGGGACACTGGTCACAGGTCTCTCGCTGCACCAGGGAAGGCTCTGTGAGGACGCAATCAAGAAGTGGCCTCTCCTCGTGGACCTGACCTCCCTGCCACCCTGACCTCAGACTTCCACTCTCAACTGTGAGAAGAGCATGCTTGCTATTAAGCCACCCATTCTGCGATATCGTAGCTTTCGCAGTCAGGAAGAGGCAAGGGCTTCACAGAGTCTCTGGAGAAAACAGTCTCGGGGGCATACAGGACACAGTAACAGTACGGGATGAAGATTTGGGAGCTGCACCCTGCAAATGATAAAGCAAACTCCAGGGCTTCTTTATTTCTCCACTTTTCCTCCTCAGGCCACCACTGGAGACACTGACTGCCTGGTGGGGGGACTTGCGTTGGCACCAAGATCTACCCTGTCTGTAGCTGTGTGGGTCTCCCTGGGGACTGGGCTTGGCGGGAACAAAGGTTGAGCACAGATAAGGAAAAAGTCCATTTCACTCCTGGAATGGCAGGTTGCTTATTGCTGTGTCTTCTGTTTGAGGACATTCTGCACACAAGGGAGAGTGTGACAATAGCCATGGGACTTGCACACCAACAGCCACCAGAGCAAACCATTATTTCACAGCCCAGTTTCAGGCCAGGGCTCAAAAGAGCTGCCTCGATTTCCTTTCTTTTTGAGCAGAAACATTTCATTATCTACCATGCTCCTATGTACTGACACTCCCGTACCTTGGGGGATTCTTGGAAGCTTAATTCTGCATCAAACAGCCACTGGCACAGGAGATTAGCAACCAGTTTTTTTTTTTTAAATAATATAATAGTTTATTCTTATATCATTTTATGCCTTTTTTTCCATCTCACTTGTAATCCCCGTGGGCTTCCCATCACCAATCACCCGTGAGCCATCACCATAGTCCAGTGCTCTTTCCCCCCAAACCCCCATTTTTGATCCCATCCCCACTCCACCCCTGTAAAATGTCTCCAGTATATAGTTGTTCATTATTATTATCCCTCCACTCCACCCCGGTCCTGCTATGAATGAAACCATCCAATATTTTTCTTTTTCTTTCTGGCTTATTTCACTAAGCACGATTCCTTCCATGAGCAACCAGTTTTTAACGTGATCACATTTTTGGTATGGCAAGAGGCTGTGTTAGGAGAGGCTCAAACTTCCATTTCATTCTGTACCACACGTATTAACAGCACTAAATTAGGGAGCTGTCAGAGTTTAGTGGCCAATACCTTAAATGTGTCTATGTTTATAGTCAATTAACTGTATCAGTACAAGGGAATCATTCCTGCAACCTCTTCACTATCTTGACATTCCAGGGAATTCCTTTTACAAATAGTCTACCAAATACTGATAGACTGACTTTACTGAAGAACAGCAAAAGCGGTTGAAATAATTTAAAGTAGTCAATATTCTAGGTCTTTTGACCCTTCCTGTCACTGGGAAGAGAACATCATGTATATTACTGGTCCAGGTTCTTCTGCAAAACACATCAAATTTTAATACCATCGGTCAAAGCACCTGTCAATTTTGAGGCACAGCTGGTGTGCTGCTGCTTTAATCCTGTCCTGAGCATCGGCGTGAGTCATGGACTCTGTCCCGAAGCCATCAATTGCCAGGATGACATCCCCGGGACACAGGTTGGCAGCTGCTGCCTTGCTTCCTGGCGTGATCTGGAAGAAATCCGGGCATATGTTAAAAGTTACCTTCTGCAATGTCTTGCGTTTTGTGACTGACATTTGTATTGCAGCTTGGTAGCATTTTATTTATTTATTTTAAAAAAGATTTATCTATTTATGCATATAAGAACTGGGGCACAGGCTAGTGGTGTATGTGTGTGTGTGTTGTGGGGGATGGTGGTGAGAGGAGTCACCAGAGACAGAGGAGGGAGCAGAACAGGCAGAATGATGAAGTACACTGCTGAGGGGAGTAGTGGGTGGGTCAGGAGAGGTCTGCCACGCCATGTGGGTCACCTTCTGGGCCAGGGATTAAACTCTTGCTGCAGTGGCTGAGGACAGCTTCATAGTGCTGTGCTTTAACCCGTTGTGCCACCAGGGAGGGCATGCACCAGGTAACATTTTACATGTTTCACTGGGTGGGCAATCTTAATTCTAACTTAAAGTAATTCTTAATTGAGCAATTAAACAGTTAACTCTGTTTTCTCATCATACTGAATAAGTTTACTAATTACATTTCTTCCTTTATTTGTGTGTTGAAGAACTGGGATGTAGATGAGAAGTGTTGAGGGGTGAGGAGATTCACTGGGGACAGAACAGGTGGACCTACTGAAATACCTGTTGAGGGGAGCAACAGGCTAGGCGGGAGAGGTCTGCTGTGCCATGTGGGTCAGCTCTGGGCCAGGGGATTGAACTCAGGCCATAGTGGTGATAGTGAGTGATAATGCTGAGAATTAGCCCCGGGCCACCTGTAATCACATTTCATCTAGTATGACATCTCTTATTCTTTCCCCCAGTTTTATTGAGATTGGATCAATATACATTCTTAATCTCTTTTAAAACATCTTTCATAACAGACTTTTTGAATTACAAAAAAAGAATTTGGTTTTAGTTTTTGCTTTCTGTCACTGATCCAGAACTCTATTTGAAGGCAGAACTTTATTAAACTTAAGGAAATTTTCTATTTGAATTAAAAGTGTTTTGGCATTTCTGTAAGTTGTGATATTCATTGTTCACATATAAGGGGGCACCTAGGAGATAGAGCTGGAAAAAAGTCCTTCTTGGCTTAATATGAAGATGCCTTATAATATACAAGATTATAACTTTTCATGCACTTTTTAGAAGTCATGAAGTTTCAGAGTAACCAACTGATCTGGAGTCTAAGACAATATTCAGCATGTATCAGCTGAGATGAAGAGTTGGGTCACCATATTAGCTATTAAGAATTCAGCTAAAATTATGAACAAATTGCTAACAGCTGATCATAAATTAGCATTGAGAGTCTGGAACCCCTGGGAACTACAGACACACGGAAGCTTGCATTCACACAGTCTTTTCTCCTTAATGAAGAACAGATGAAACAATAGAAAACAATAATATGATGCAAGACTTTAATTCTATCAGTAAAAACTAAGTACAAATGGCTAAACACATCACAGTTTTTTTTTTTTATTTTTTAAACAGATTGTGAAGGTAGGTAAAAAAGCAAGATCCAGTTTTATTTAATGTATGGGTAATCAACATGGATTTCTTTGTGTGGCCAGGGGGAGTGCAATGGGGATAAAATATATGCTTAACCAATAAGTAACTTGAATATTACTATTTTGAGTATTTAGTTATAGGCAGTGATTCTTATAAAGTTTTTCTTTATTGAAGCAACACTGCATTATAGCATTATATAAGGTTCAGGTGTGCACCATAAAAATCAACGTGTGTGTATTATAAATTTACCACCACAAATCTGATTGTATCCTTCCTCATACACTTGTCCTGATTTGCCTACCTCCATGCCTCCTTTGCCTCTGGTAACCACTATTAGGTGTTGTAGTCCACATTTTATTTTGTTTTATTTAGTTTATCTATTTTTTTGTTTTCTCACTATTGAAATTATCCTGTGTGTCTTTCTTTGTCTGGCTTATTTTACTTAGCATAAATAGGTCCATTCCTGTTGTTATAACTTGTAGGACTTCACTTCATCATCTTTTTAACAACTGCATAGTATTCCATCTCCTTTACCCCTTCATCAGTTGATGGGCCCTTAAGTGGTTTTTAGTTCCTAGCTATTATAAATAATGCTGCAATGAAATATGGGTACATTTGTTTCTTTGAATTAGTGTTTTAATATTCTTGAGTAGATACCTGAAGTAAATACCAGAAGTGGGGGAACTGGATCTTATAGAATGTCTCCTTTTAATTTTTAGAGGGCTTTCCATACTGCTTCCCATAAGGGCCACACCAATTTACATTCTCTTCACATCCTCTCCAAAACTTATTGTTTCTTGTCTTTTGGAATAATGACAATGATTCTTTTGATTGCTATACTAGATTTTTCTCAGCAAACCCCAACTACTTATTCAGGGCCACACCATGCCTGCTTCTCTAAATGGTCTTGTTCCACTCTCTGCCTCCTACATCACTGTATTGAGATTCCTTTCAGTTCTTCAAGAATTCAAACTTGGGCTGCATACAAGCTGTTATTTTGGCCTGAGATGGTTTCCTGACTATTCACCCAATTGCTCTTTCTTATCTTTTAAAGCTAATCTTCTATGCCACCTTCTCAAAGACTTCCCTAAACATCAGAAGTAGCATCTCCAGTCTCTCCCCACAGATTCCCCACCAGTATGTCCTGTTCATTTCCTTCATGAAAACAATTTGAAATTTTATGTTTATTTCCTTGTGCCTGGCCTGTCTTCCCAACTGTGCTAGGAGCTCTTGAGGACATGTACAGCATTATGTATATTTCTAATGCTTTACGGTATATATTCCAGTGTTTGGAATTCATGAATAATTTATTTGAAAAATAAATGAAAATGACACTTAGGTCAGAGTTTATAAAACATAAAGAACTTGTCTCTATTTAAGTATCACGGCTGTTGCGGTCTCCCTGGTGGTACAACAGGTTAAAGCACAGAGCTATGAAGCTATCTGAAGCCGCTGTGGCATGAGTTCCATTCCCAGCCAGGGAGCTGACCCACATGGCGCGGCAGGCCTCTCCTGATCTGCCCACTGCTCCCCTCAGCAGTGTATTTCAGTACCTCTGCCTGTTCTGCTCCCCACTCTGTCTTTGGTGAATCCTCTCACGCCCTGCACCTCTGGCCTGTACCTCTGGCCTGTACCCCAGTCTTGTAAGCATAAATAATAAATAAATCTTAAAAAAATATGATTGTTAATGTTGACCTATCATTGTTCGTTTGCAATTTTCCACTATTTACAGCAGAATAATACATGGACTTGACTTAAAATTCAGATTGTACTAGGAATAAAATAGATTGCTTCTCATGTTTTTTTTCAAAGATTTTTTTTTTAATGCATACAGAGAGGTGCAGGGGCGGTGAGAGGATTCACCAGAGACAGAGTGGGGAGCAGAACAGGCCAAATGACGAAGTACATTGCTGAGTGGAGCAGCGGGCGTGTCAGGAGAGGTCTGCTGCGCCATGTGGGTCACCTACGGGGCAGGCAGGAATGGGACACATGCTGAAGTGGCTTTAGTTTCTTAGTGCTGTGCTTTAACCTGCTGCACCACCAGGGAGGGGCCCTGTTTCTCATGTTTTACTTGAGGCTCAGCCATTAATTTTTTTCCTCTACCTTATTCTAGTTATCTATTGTATTTCACTTTGTATTTCTAAGGGAAATCTAAGATTCGCCCAAATGAGTATAATTGCTAAAATAATAAATTTGCATGTGTCCCAACTCTTCAGTCTCATCTCTAAAGTGTTTGCTGTGCTTATTTTATTTCTGTGACCATCTCACTCTAGGTTCTTACTTCCAGTAAGAACAATAAAAAGGAGATGAGTGAAGATAACTGGGGTTATGGCATTTCAGCCTTTGCTCCCAACATTTCATAACTGTTTTCCATTTAGAAATTCTCCCAGACCCAGAACTGTTAGAAGAAAAGTTTCCATCCCTAATGTGACTTGTAAGGATAAAAATAATCTTCAGCTTTTAATTATCTCTAGTTATAGTTTGTCAAAATCAGTACTATCTATTTTTAAACTTCTAAGACCAGAATGCTTTTGTTTGACTTAAAACATGGGAAGGCACGTTGCTTTTAAAGCCTCAATTAATCTACTTATGACTCTACTGTAGTTAAATAGGTAAGTCATGTAACAATGTTGATTTAGAAAAGCCTAATATGTTTTAGCTCCTGTTAGGAAGAGTGGAAGTAAGGCTGTGTATGTATATGTCATAAATTTTAAACAGAGACTTCTGGTAGCTGAAGTTAGGTACTAAATTGTATTAATGGTACAATTAATACAATTTAGTACCTAACTTCAGCTACCAGAAGTTAACAATGCTATCTTATATTTATGCAGAATATTATATTTGCAAAGCTTTTTCGTAGCTTTGACCATTGCCACAACTGTAAGACAGGTTGGACAAGCAGGCTGCATTTATGTTTCAGAGGTGGGGTGTCTAAGAAATCTGTAACTTCTTACTAAGTCGGGTGCAGGTATATAGCCAGCTATATTGCCAGCTGTTTCAGAAGTCAAATAGGGAAGGTGGTTGATGGTGATGGCCATTTCGCATCCAACCTGACCCTTGTTCCTGGGGCCTCCTACAAAGTATTTACAAGAAAGAAAAAAAGATGTAGAAAGAGAGATGAGAAAGAAGGAAAGAATAAGATCTCTTTACTTTTCCCTAAATCTCAAGTTCAGCTAGTGTAGTGATCAGAAAATGATCACAACACTTGTCTGGTGTCAGTAAGTTAAGTTACTCATTTAATCTCAAGTGTATGTTATTTCTCAGTATTACTTTGTGTTGCCATTGTATTATATTATATTGTCACCTCGTTGTTTTACTTCCTGTGATTGCTCCCAAGTTATTACTATCTACTTTCCAAATCAGAAGAATTTTCCAATGGATTACTTATAATTCAGGCTCATTAGAGTCTCAAAGATCAAAAGCTTGTGACATCCTACTGGCCCAAATCACTTAGCACTGTATTTTAAAACTTGCTTCATTGAAACATAGACACTGATCCCACTCCAGGTCCCTGGAATCCTAAATGGAAACCCGAGGAGAGCTGGGAGAAACTGTGCTTAACAATTACCTGAGATAATTTCCATTATTTACATCAGCCTATTATTTAGATCCATTTGAAAAAAAACCCACTAATTAAAAACACATATAATGCATCTGTGGGAAGCATAAGGGAAGTTGAAGACATGACCCAATGTGATCTTTCTATTAAGAATAAAAATGACTGAAATGGTTATGGAGCAAGACAAGTGTATACTGAAGGACTCTATGTTGGGGCATGGGTTGAAATAGTGAGTAATCTCATCGTTCAGTTATTCTCCATTATCCACAAATACATTGTCTACTCCAGCACCTTGTCAAGTAACTAAAGCCCACTAGCCCACATTTCTAGACCCATACTCTGTACTAGTTAAATCAGAATCTCTACAAGTTGTGTCTGGGCATGGGTATCTTCAAAAGTCATCTGGGTGAGTTGAATGGGCAACCAGCACTGAGAACTATTAGGATATCGCTACTTTATTATTGTTATTACTGAGAAGTATTATCTCATTTATTTGCTTCTTTTAAGATGAGAAAACGGATGCTCAGAAAGTATAAAAATCTTGCTTATGGTCTCACAGTCAGTGAAAATCTGAAGTTCCCTCGCGGTCTCTAGCTTTTTAGGTAAATCCGACCTGTACCCCACATGCCACTCCTGCAGGTAATTGCTCCTCTGCCTACTAGTTCTTGGCCATACTTTCTCCATGGAATTTTGGACAGTTGTGTCTAGGTAGTTTATCTATATGCACCTTTTCTTCTACTGACATATGAGTTTTTCAGGTGGTAGAAACCCATTAGATTCAATTACTTGACTCTTCTGCATTAAAACCACATACAGCACATTCTGCATTTGTAGATATTTATGAGATGCAGGAATATTCTGAACATGCCAACCAACACTTAATGGGCAGAAACACGTTTGTTAGAACAAAATTAAACAGGTTTTTATTTATATCAACTTTCCTATCGCACTTGGTTTAGCCTGGAAAAGGAAAACTAACCACCTTTCTAAAAGTTGAAATTTCAAACAGAGTTTATGTTAAAGTGATGTATTTTTGTAAGGTAAAGCCTGCAAATCTGAAGACTACTGACTAGCATTTTCCCACATAGGTCCACTTAGCATTTCTAGTTACAATGATCTTGATTCTAGGTGTGCTATGAATGGGAAGGAGGGAGGAGGGAGTGGGGAGAGGAACTGAGCGAGACTGGACATATTGGCATCAAATGTATACAATGATATTACATCATGTCCACAAAAGAAGCTTGCATTTTATTCCAAATTGAACCGTTTGTGAAAACAATGTATCGGCAACTTGGCAGTGATAGTAAATCACTTTCTGGGTGGTCCAGAAACGTGAAAAAGAAAGAAAGAGACTCTTTAGAATCTTCTTGTTAATAAAAAGAAAAGGTGCTGACTTGAAGATGTAAACTTTAAGTTTCATTTGGTGAAATTCCTAGGCTAGTTTTACATAGTGTTTGAAATAGCAAACTCTCCTTGAAACTGAAAAATCTACAGTTTAACTGTGTATTGTGTGAAGTATAGAAACTGCTGTCCTGCAAATTGTGGGTTTTGCAATCAATTGCTAATTTATCTGGAGGGTCTCTGGGGTTTGTTTTACCTCACTTCTTGTTTTTTTATTTATTTATTTCTTATGATACAAAAATGAAGCCAGGATGAGGAACTGGATTGTAAACAGTTATGGGAGGGGACCCCTTTGTCCTAAATTTTGTGGATTATAATTTCAGTTGGTGGAGAGTTACATTTGTAACTCTTCCAGGGAACAATCTAGGAGATTGCTGTAGTCTGCACTTGTAGCATTGAGGCAGGGAGAGGAGGGTAGAGCTTGGAGGAGAACAAGAAGTAGATTTCACGAACTTGAGGAATCGATGTCATTTATGGGACATTTGGTGGCATTGAGTACAGGCATTGGTATTTTTTATTTTTTGTATTCTTCATAACTGACAACTCAGTTAATAATGCAAAATTCTCACATATCTTAATCATGGACTATTTTTGAAGACAGAATCTGTAACTCTAAATAATAATATGTGAAAAGTACACAACATAGTGATTCACATTCAGCCTGTATTTACTCTATAACACGAATGATGTAAAGACACAGTATATGCCACTGAGAAGCCCCTACCCTCGCAGAGCATGAAATGTGTGGGATACAGATGGACTCAAACATCTGCGTGGTAGAAGACTATAGGTCAAAAGCAAGCTGCAGTAACCAAGTGGATGAAATGATTGTTTCTGGAAGAAAGCCAGGGGAGTGGTAGTTGAATGTTTTCCACAGCATAAAGGATGGTGGGTGGGTAGGAAGGGGAAGTGAATTCTGGAAAGAAATAATAGCAGGAGCAAAGGAATGTTAGAGAAATCATAAACTATCCAGGGCAGGGCACCACTGGCTGTGGAGTGGAAGAGAGAGGGCAGAGAGAAGGGACAGAGAGGGAGGGAATGAAGTTGGCAACTTGCCATGCTAAAGAACACACATTTTACTCATAAACTGGTGGCACCACTGAAGGATTCTTAAGGATGGGGAGGCTGAGGAAATCTTGCATTTCCCAGAGATCACTGGTAAGAATATGTGGGGTGAACCAACAGCCAGGTGTGATGTCATAACTTGAATCCAGACAGTAGGAGAGAGATGGAAAATGGCAGAGCATACAGACAAAGATGGTGAACAACCAAACGTATTCACTACCTTTTACATAATATAAAAGCTATAAAAGTAATAGAATAACTCTTAAATATGACACTGATTATTTTCTGATGTACTATCTTTAATGATTTTCTAAGCAAATTTTTATTCTTATCATTTCAGTAGAAATGGTCTCACTTGGGTATTCTCTAGGATTTTAATAAGTTGAAGTCGGGTCCTCCCTGGTGGCGCACTACGAGGCTAAAGCCACTTCAGCATGAGTTCGATCCCCGCCCGCCCCGGAGGTGACCACATGGTGCAGCAGACCTCTCCTGACCCGCCCGCTGCTCCCCTCAGCAGTGTACTTCAATGACCTGCCTGTTCTTCTTTCCCCTTTGTCTCTGGTGAAGGCTCTCATTGCCCCTGCACTTCTGGCCTGTAGCCCAGATCTGTATGCACAAATAAATATTTTTTTTTTAAAAGAAGTTGAAGTTTAGTAGGTTTTCAGTTATTCAAAAAATGCACCGCTTCTACTATTGGTGGTTATTGGGACATGTGGAATACAAAACTATTTTACCTTATCTGCTTTCCTTGTTGAATGAATTGAAATGAATAGTCCAAGAAATAATTACATGTGATCATGCACTGTTACTGATCAAGCATCAACATGAGTGATGCCACTTAATTATGAGTTCAAAAGTCAAATAAGACTTGTTTTCAGAGAGTAACTGTCATTACATCAAATGCATTTACCAATTGCCCCAAAACGTAAGTATTCCTTTAAAATAAACATTGCTTATAAACTCAACAACTCAAACTTTCAAACATAAGATTAATCATATTGAGATGTTACTGAGTAATAGTAACATATTTTGTAACCCACTTGAAGGATTTTGGTGACAAAGTTATTCCTGTAGGATTGACTATAAGTAAATTATCCTTTGTTAGGTTTGAAAAGCTTGTATCATTTCACATAAACAAGTGAAAACAATACTTCAGAAACTTTAAAAATATTTCTTAGTAGACATAATGGAAACTGTTTTCTTTGGTAAATCCATAAAAGGCATTGCTTGGTCCAGATCACTGAAGCATTTTCTGCTTAATTTACTTTGGAACATTTTTGAGGGTATGTTAAGTTTTCATGTCTCATAGAAAAACACGTGTCAGATATGTTTATATTTTGAAAAATGTAAAACAAAGCTTGAAATGCTCCGTGGCATGTAATTGTCTAATACATGTCTTGAGATCTTTCAAAAAGGCATCAGTTTCTAAATCTCTTAGTCATATAAAATAGAATTTAAAAGACATTACCCTATTCAAAAGTCTTTGTGAGTAAATCTATGTTGATAAACTTATATATATAAATACAGCAGAAGCAGTGATCAAGAAAAAAAAAAGCAATAAAGCATAATAAAAGTATGATAATCTGGAAGTTTGTGCATTTAAATTGGGTTTCATATGCTTTTCTATCAAGGCCAATAAGTTAGAAGATAAAATTAGCAGACCAATTAGAAATTTATGAATAGAAAACAAAACCTGAAGTGTTTCTTTTTCCTAATTGGACAGTACTTTAAAGAACACTAAGTAAGGAATGCTTGACTCTCCTATGAAAGCATTTTGTCAGAGTTACCACACTGCAGGAGGACTTTCCAACAGGTAAACTTATCTTTGCAGTTTCAGTAATAGGTGTTGATTCCTAAGCCAAGTTCCCTGCTTTGAAAAATATTTATTTAAAATACACATTAGTAATATTTTCCTGTCTGGGCTGATAGGAGCAATTCCAACTTGGGGTCCCAGGCTGCCCTGCCATCACCTTCCCTCAGAAGTTCCCCCTCAGACAAGAAAGGCTCTTAGATGCCTGTCGAGTTCCAAGAACAACAGCCAGTGTCCTTCACCTCTACCGACCGGGACCCCACCCCTTAGAGCTGAGGGGAGGCGGAGAGTGGAGGGCGGGGAGGTGCCCCTCACAGTCTAGCCCTCGCTAAGCACGGGAAATCGCGCTGTCACTTCCTCGGCAAGTTTTGGGGGCCAAGAGGATGCAGACAGAGACCACGGGGGTTGGCGTGGGTAACCTCCAAGCTGCTCTGCACCCCCCAAACCTCAGTTTGCCAAGCTGCTCCGGCCGCTGGACCAGTGTTACGCACCCACCCTGCGCACCCCGGCAGCCGCCCGCTCTCTGCCCAGGGGCACCCGCTGGACGCCGCAGCCCGGGACTTGGAGCAAAACAACTCGCAACACCTACCCTGGTGATGATCAAAGGCTGGTTGAAGTCTATGCCCCCCGAGAGTCTGAAGCCCCAGGGCGCAGGGCCCGGGAGGACCACGTTCTGGGGCATGGTGGCTCCAGGTGCAGCCTCCCTCGCGTGGGGGCGCTTTGGCGCTCAGGGACTGGGCGCAACGAGGGACGGCGGGGTGCGCGGTGAGGGTCCCGGAGGGGACAGCCCACTGTGCTCCCGGGGCAGTGTCCTCGCCCGGACCTCGCCCGCGCGGGAGCTTTATCCCGCTCCCCGGTGACGTCACCGCCTGCCCTCCCCCCGCCCCCTCCCACCCAGGAGAGCTCCAACTTTGGAAGAAAGCGCCGTGCCAGGCCCGCGGGACATCCCAGGCTCCCCGCTGGGTGCAGCCTCTAGACCTCGCTGCAGGCGGCGCACCGCAGGGGCTTCGGGTTACAGCTTCCTTCACTCTCTTAAAGCAACACCTGTCTGTCCGTTTATCCTCCACTTGGGGCTCAGCAGTGCACAGCGGCGTCAAGTTAACAGAGTTAAACCATAGCCTCAGTGCTTTCCCTTAAAATGCATCACAAGCATCACCCATACGATTAGCTCCTGAGCCGTTCTGATCGCGCTCTTTTTGCGTTTGGCTGTGTGTCGCTGGCTGGGTTTCTCAGCCTCCCTAAGCCTGACTTTTCTCTGCGGTGACACAGAGATAATTCTTGTGACTTATCTGGTAGGATTACCCTGAAAGTTAAACGCACTGCTTTTGCACAGAGCCTGGCACGGCCTAAGTAACAATAGATATTAAGCGTTTCTGTAATTAAGTACCAATGTTAGGGGAATGATGTTGGTGGGTCTGGCTGTGTACCGAGTTGAAGAGTAACAGCCGCCACCCCAAAAGTGAGAGCAAGCAAGTGTGGAATTATTGAAGCAAGAGGATAGAACTCCTGGCAGCCGAGGGGTCAAGAGAGATGCGGATTTACTCCAGCCCTGTCTGACTACCGGCTGGCAGACTGCCTGCTGTCCAGTGTGCCAGACTATTGATTAGGTACCAGATGCAGTAAAATTCTTCCATTTTCCAGGGAGCTGTTTTTTTAACTTCTATTCCAATATTGTTTAAATCACTGTCCTGTGTCTTAGCCTTACCCATGCCCCAATTTCTCCTGGTCTGTTTCTCTCATGTAGGGTTACCTATAAATTTTTGGGTATGCATACTGTACACACACACACACACACACACACAACAACAACAAACACAAACATAGTCAAACGTTGTTTTTAAATGGAAGGAATCTAAAGTGAAAATGTTTAGGCAAAGAAATTTCCAAGCCAATGAATGCTTATATGAGTAGATAACACATCACTGTACTCAAACTATACTCTAATTTTGACTGGGGTAACTGCCACAGACCTCAAATTCAATCTCTAACCTTATGTGTTTGTGTGTGTGTGGTTTTTAAAAAAGATTTATTTATTTATGCGTACAGAACTAGAGTACAGTCCAGAAGGGCAGGGGCAGTGAGGGGATTCACCAGAGACAGAGAGAGGAGCAGAACAGGCAGGTGGACTGAAATACACTGATGAGGAGAACAGTGGGTGACACAGGAGAGGTCTGCTGCTCCATATGGGTCACCTCCAGGGCCGGGGATTGAACTTCTACTGAAGAGGCTGTGGCTCACTTCATAGTGCTGTGCTTTAGCAAGTTGTGCCACCAGGGAGGGCCCTCTAGCCTTATGTTTTTTTTTTTTTTTTTAAAATTTATTTATTATTTATGCATACAGAACTGGGGTACAGGCCAGAGGCTCAGGGGCGGTGAGAGTCTTCACCAGAGACAGAGTGGGGAGCAGAACAGGCAGATCGACGAAGTACACTGCTGAGGGGAGCAGCGGGCAGGTCAGGAGAGGTCTGCCATGCCATGTGGTGTCCTCCGGGGCAGGCGGGAATTGAACTCATGCGGAAGCGGCTTTAGATTCTCAGTGCTGTGCTTTAACCCGCTGCGCCACCAGGGAGGGCCACTAGCCTTATGTTTTTGACGTATGTTTTGAGGCGAGTATGACAGAGACCTAGGATCCTGGGCTGTCGATGTGGATACTGCAGCAGAACCAGGGTGCCCATGGGGTGCAGCTAAGGTGCTCCAAGTGGAGCCTGCCTGCATGAAACTGCACTGAGGAAAGGGGATGGCTGGATGGGTGCTCACTGAATACCTCTGGGTCCCAGGTGCTATGTGACTGCCCTGCTTGTGCAATCTTATTTCATCTGCATCACCAGGGATCAGCTTGCTATTATTATTTCCTTTTTTTTTTTTTTTTAGGTGAGGAATAGCTTGCAGAATAGTAAATTTGTTTGTATAGGGTCGCACAGTGAGTAAGTGGTAGCATTGAGAGTGCAAACCTGGATCAGCCTAATGGCAGTGTCTGCCTAAAAAAGGCAGAAAGGTAGGAAGTCTGGTAAAGTCTTGTAATCTTAGTGTGGAATCAAGGATTTCTGGTATTATACTCCAAAGAGAGAAGAAAAGAAGTAAAAGAGAAGTATATAGAACGCTTAAAAAAATCCATGAATGGGCCCTCCCGGGTGGCTCAGTGGGTTAAAGCACAGCACTAAGAAGCTAAAGCCACTTCAGTATGAGCTCGATCCCTGCCCCAGAGGTGACCCACATGGCATGGGAGACCTCTCCTGACTTGCCCCCTGTTCCCCTCAGCAGTGTGCTTCATTGATCTGCCTGTTCTGCTCCCCACTCTGTCTCTGGTGAATCCTCTCTCCGCCCCTGCACCTCTGTTTGTACCCCAGTTCTGTATATAGAAATAAATATTTAAAAAAAGAAATCCATGAATGCTATGGCACTATTGGTCCAGGAGAGCAAAATCACAATCTACTTTGCTTAGAGTAGTTGTGTGCAAGTTCTTTAATAGTGATGGAAAAAGAGAAAAGAGATCCAGGAAGCTGTAAGCAAAGGGAACCAGCCTGGAGATAGTGTCACTCACAAAAGCAGGATTGGGGCTGCTTTGCCCTCTCAGTAAAATAAATACAAGTCCCAGGGCTGGTTTTACTTTTCTGGTCCCAAACATTTTCCTGTGCCCCACCTATGTTAGGTCAGCAGGGAAATCCTATGTTCTTGTTGACTTTGCCTTTTTGGGCTGACTACCTGATTGGAAAGCATGATTCCCCCTTTCACTGGCTGTGCCTGCCAGAAACAAACACACATATATCAAGTCAGAATATAAGTCAGACAATTGTTTACACCTTACTCCATAAGGTGACTTATATCTCCAACCAATTATAATCACTCTTTGCCAGGGATCTTGGTTTCACTTAGATGTAGCTGCATCTATGTAACATCACTGCATACCTGGTGAGCTCTTAAAGCTTTGCAGAATGTACAGAAAGTAGGCCCAGGGACAGTCAGTTTCCTTTTCTTGCTATTCCCTAAGGTCAACAGGTTCAGAAGTGACAAGATCTGGGTGAAAACAGCTGTCAGGGAGTATTCTAGAGAAGCAGGGACCCTAGCCATATTACTCCTAAAGATTCTGTTTTAGTTTGGATACTGCTTTAAGGGGATCTTTTCTAAAGACGTGGTTCTTTATTTTCTTTTAATATTTTAAGGACTGTGTACAACCCCATAAATATTGCTGCCATGATTATTAATGTAATCCACTTTTAGAAGTCCTTTAATGTTTTCTTTTTGGAAGAGGGTCAGAAAATTATTCATTCTACTCTCATTTGACTGGAAAAATTTTCTGAAAGTTGACACTGTCAACAATTTGTTGATTCTTAATTCTATGACTTTGGCCTTGGACTCCATTTTATTTTCTGATCAGATTTTGCTAGAAGTCCACAGGAACATATACAATTCAACCCGTGTGAAACTAGACCCATCATTCTCTTTACTTATTCCAAACTGACTTCCTGATCTCTGTGCCATTCAACTCCCACACTCTCCCAGACTCTAGGTCAGATGCTGTAATTCTCCTCTTCCTTATTTCCTGATGAGCAAATATCTCTATTACCGTGACGTTTTAAATCTTTTCTGTTCATTTGTTCATTCCTTCAGTAGACATTTGTTGGGTGTCTGTGACATGGCAGGCACATCCTGGCTCCATTGTGCTTGCTGTGTGGTCTTAGGCAAGTAGTTATTCATCTTCATTAAAGTGATGATGATAGTACTTGTCTTCTAGAGTTACTTTGAGACTTATGTAAGTGAAGGCATATAAAATACTTGGTACTGTGTTTGGCTCATGCTAAAGGCATATAAATAATTTGCTATTATTGTTAGTAGAGTTCATAGTATAGTAAGTAATTGGAGAGGGAGAAGGAGACAGAGAGAGAGAGGTGGGGGAGAAAGAGAAACAGAGAGAGAGAGACAAAGACAGAGAGACAGAGAGAGAGAGAGAGAGATTGGACATGGAAATCTAGAGCTCTGGGTCTGGGCTTGAGGTGAATATTTTAGAGCTATAGTAGAACCTGTAGTTCTGACTATTCAATAGTTTCACAAACTGGTTACAAATTCTTTGATATCCCCCTTTCAAGAGGTGGGGGGTTTGGTCCCTTCTACTGTACTTGTGAAGGTGTGGGATGCTTACAACTCCAATAAATGCAGTGAAGTGAGATCATGTGACACCCAAGTTTGGGTCAGGAAACATGATGTGAGTCCAATCCTTGGGTCTGCAGCCCTGACACGTTAAAGGTCTGAGGTGCCAAGCAGTGAGCACTCCCAGCTTCCTGGAGATATCACGTGTGGGTACTACTACCTGTCACCCGGAACCAGGCACCATTAGCGCCAATAGGGTGAGCACAGACCCTTTCCTGCCCTCACAGACGTCACTCTAAGTTCTCACATCTCAGGCCCATGTGTTGCTGAGTAGAGGAGTCACCCCCTCACTCTCCTCATGCACCCCCCCTTTCCCATTTAACACATGGCATCTATGAACACAATAAGATGGTTTTTCAAAATTCTGGAGTTTTGGATAATTTGTTACTCAGCAAAAGTGACAATGATGGGGTGAAATCATCCAATGAAATTAGGTTTGTACAGAGGCTAATGATTAAACCTGGAGAAACAGCAGCAACGGTGATTTTTTAAGGAGCAGGACACTAAGAGATGGTAGAAGATGGTTTTTCTCTCCTAACACATTTAAGAAAACTGTGAGAGTGATTGTATAGAAAGCCATGTGAGGAGAAAAACCCAGGGAGAGAAGGTAGATCTCACAGGAGGGAAGGCCACAAGGTTTGTTCATTGTGACAATACAAGGTC